AACCCGGCTGCGTGTAGTACGTTCGCGTATTTACTGCAACTTGGGCAACTTTAGTATGTGTTTTCTTAGCTTTTTCATCTCTGTTTAAAATACTATATTCTCGATTCTAGAGGTTTACGGTTCGAATCCCCATAGCGATAAGTACTTTAGACTTTAATTTGTAAGTTACGTAACTCGGTGAATGAACACTATATTGCATTTTTGCACTTTTATAATTTCAGTACAGAGTATTAAAAAAACCAACCTCATAAGCCATTCATCTTTTGGCTCGCGACTCTAAGGGAATATTTTCTTCAAATTTAAATGGAACCACTTCTGAGAAGAAGAAACAAAAAAGAATTATCAAAATCGGTTCACAAAAACATACAGCCGAATTGAGAACCTCCTCCTTTTTTTTTTAAAGTCAGTTTTGACCACTATGCTTGGTGGTAAACGACACGCCCACCCCTAACAGTTGCAGTGCCACTCAGAGTTTAAAACCGCAAAGATTTGAGGGGCACTGCCACTGCGCCCGTCACCCTGAGACGTAAGTTTACTAGTCTCATGTGCCTGTAATTTCACCAGCACCCTAACCGTTCAAAACCGGAACACAGTAATGTTCATATTACCGCTTGGCGGCTGAAATAAGTGAGGTGACAGTACTTCCCTGGACGAACTTTTTTCTCTAGGTACTGCTACTAAAATTATTAAAAAATTACTACGTAACTCTATAATATTAATACTAATAATAATAAACGCTTACACTCATAGCCCCGTACTAGGGAAACCCTGTGTCAAACCATAAATTACACCCAAACACACGAGAGAAATAAATGTAGGCCATACAATTATTTATCTTGGCCCAAATGTATCCAGTTACATGATCATGCAAAAAGTTACCTACCATAGTTAAACTCCGAAATTCGGCGGCACTGTAAGTTGTTTTTTAATGGTTCCCACGAACAATTACAAAGTTAGTTTGTTAAATCACAGAACAATAAATACAGTAGAAATGGTTAGTTAGCATCTGACGCATGCCAACTACAGGTCACAAAAGACCTATCTGAGATCAGTCCGCCCTTTTCGCTTTACATGTTATGATTGTGTCATGTTTTCGTGCAAAATCTCTAAAATCCTAGAAAATGCCTTATTGTGCTGTTTTGGAGTGCAAAAATGATAATTATCTGCACCAAAAATATTACCCGTGGTGGTATTTCATATGGGAAAAATCTTATTTTAATAAACTTTCAATTTTCTGTTTATCCGCTCACGCGATACATGCAGCCGTAGACGCATACCACACCAAGAGCTGCCGGTGATGATTTTATACCGATTTATCGGATATCGAAGTTATAACAGGTAAAAGAACTAATATTAATTGCTATTTCGGTAACTACTCTAGCAAACCATAAAGTTTTTAATGCCT